CTACAAGCTATATACAACCACTGAGGTGTATAAGAGAAATGGTTCTCACTAAAATCTAAATACTTTCAAACCTATGTTGGCCAGGACCATAGTCAGGATGTTAGAAACAGTCCAGGTCTAAAGATTGTTGTCTAGCGACAAACCAAACCTTTTTCTGACTAATTAAGAAAAAAATGGTTTATTCTTTTAACAGTTCAATTACATTTTGTGTGCTACATCTCCCTATATGATGCCCAGTATGTAGAACACAACATTTCTTTGATATTAATTTAATATACTTAAGGTTTTTTGCCCAAATTGCCCAAATTTAATCTACAAAATATTATAATCCACCCAAAAAAGAACAAAACAAAAACATGTTATATGTGTAGAATGTAAACTCCTCTTCAGGTCATTATAACCTCCAAAATTTGTTTTTAGATATTTTACTGAGGACACGACCATTTGGTCCTCAATAGTAACTACAGCCATGATTGAATGAAACTGGAGTTTCTCCATCCGAGTTTGCTAGACCACCAAATAAAACCAAATAAACCAGTCCTCTTTACCTTTTCACATTTTATAAAGTCATCTTTTTCTTTCTCAAAAAAGTTTAATTTAAAACCCATTAAAATTTTCCTAATAGCTAGTTATTCACGTACTTTATAGATAAACAAATGCAGTGCAGGTCTGTAAGCACAACATGTACCGTTATTTCCCGTATTTATATGTGTTCAAGGTTTCTACTGTCGAACCCACCATATAATCGTGCAGCGTTTGAGATTTTTGCCTTTATTCAATAGTTGACAGTAAGAGAGACAGGAAACACGGGGCAAGAGCAAGGGGGATTGACGTGCAACGTGGAGTCCCCAGTCCCTAATCCGAAAGTTGAAAACTGTACATGATATGTACCGTAGGTCACCTTGAAGAGCCAGGTTTCCTGAGCTGTAATAATAGTTAACATAGCTAATAAAGATGCACAGGGGTTATCGTGCTGCATACATAGTGGTCCAACACACTTAAATGAGGTGTCAGATGTCATCGGGGGGGAGCAGATAGCACAAAAATTGCTATGGCTAATATTATTATAAATCTTTTGTTTTCCAGACTTTACTGTTTGTTAATCAGCAGCTTACTTGTTGATGATCTTGAGTTTGTCTCCCTTCTCAAAGCCCAGGTCACCATCATGATTGGGTTCATAACTGTATATGGCCACCACAAGGTTGTCTGCAAGAGGAATATTGTAAGTTGTAGTTAAATCAAACACAGATGAAATGCACTGGGGACAGTTTTTACTCATAAATATGGCTGTTTAAATAAGATAAAGGCTTATGTTATATGCTGGTGTTTTAATTCTTCACGAGAGTGGGCATCCTCGCCTAGTCCCCCGAGCAGCGTGAAATTTCTCATAGTTGCCCATTAGTGATGACATGACTGAGGATGAGTTGTACAGAATCTTAGTCCAGTTGATTAGCCCATACCACATTTCTCTTGTGTGACAAATAAACATTTCCAGTTGGCTTTCATTTTGGGGGGTTTATTTGCTTTTGTATTCTGTGATTACTGGAGTAACCATATTTTTTTTCAAAGAGAAATCAACACAAGGATCTCCAGCTGAAAGGGATCTGCTTTTTTTACTTCAAAACAGAAATATTATATAACAAATACAGGAAGACGGTATGGAACACGGGGGATGTCAAGCTCCAGTGGTGGCAAACGTGTAACAAAAATGATACGATTAGGTAAACAATTAAAATTTTGTCAAAAAATGAAAAAAGCCAATTGGGACATATAATCAGATAAGCAAGCATTTCAGACACATTATCTTTTAGGCAATCAAGGAAATAGGTAAATGGTAAATATTGTGTGGTCAAAATATTAATTACATACACTAGAGTGATTTAAGGAGTGAGTAATTAGGAAAACAAGTAGTTACAAGATGTGAAAGATACTATAAAATAAACTTTTATTTAATTTGGGGTAAAGGAAAAAAATACAAAGCATTTTCCAAATGTATTTTTAATACTATTTCCTTATGTATTCAATCATACTTTCAAAAACACTGTGCCTGAAACTTATTTATCACACACTTAATATTTACTTAATATCATTATGTTTGTACTTTGTACTTTATTAGCCTAATATTGTCTTTTGTATAATTTTACTACAGCTACTTCGGTATGCTCTGTACTGTATATCTATATATCAGAGTTCTGCCTTTCTTACCCTATTAATAGGTTGTCAAATGTTGACTTGACTCACCATAAAACATATAAAGGACACACACAAACAAATAGAGTAATATATATATATAGGATATATATATCTTGTCACCTGGTAACGGAGATGTAGGAGGTGAATGCTGTGATGGGTATGGAATCAGCTGGTCCGTGTACTGGTGACAGAAAGAGAAGATTAGACTTGCATTTTAAATTCAGCTTTCCGAAGAACAATAAAATATTAATGGGGTTAAACAAGGCACTTTCACATGTCACATTCACAGTAAACACTATCTACATTTCTGGTTTAGTACACAGATCTTGTTGGTTGGTTTTGTTTTTTCTCCCAGACAAAATATCTTGAAGTATTGTGACACACAGGTGTTTTTCTCCTTTATTTCTAATCTAATGGGACATCTAACTCAGAGGAAACAAACAACATTGAGAAAATAATTACGCTCCCATTTAATCACACACACAAAAGACAACTTCCCTCGACGTTACGTAAGTTATAAAACTTTTTCTGGACTCAAACAAACAATAGCGGATTGTACTGTATAATTTAATTGTAATGTTTATATCATCTACACATAATGTTCTCACCTTCTCACTTGTACTGCACTGCTGTCAAATTATGTGTCCTCCAAGTGGTCACTCACATTCAACCACACAGACAACCAAAACTCATTCACAAAAAAGCTCTTACACACAGACACTCAACCATACACTACAATGTACAAAGTATATATGTGCGTACAAATGAAAAAAAACATAAATACATGGCGGCACATAAAAGATGTACGTAGACACTTACTGGATTGCATGACTGGGGGGGTATGGGACAGTTGCAGTGTTCACAGATCTCATCCAAGTTCTCGATCCAGTCGCTGTCTGAATAGTCCGAACTGCAGTTACATCCCATCTTTCCTAGAGATTTGAATACTCATTTGTTAATGGCATAAATTCTCCGATGAAAGTGTTTTCTTTTTGGCCGACATCTTAGACAGCTATGGTGTCCCCAGATAAATGTGTCTCATACCAATCGAAGACAATATTCAAGTCTCATGCGCTGCATTTCGATTTATGGACACTTGAAAAAAAGCTATTTTCAAAAAGATCTCTTTAATGGCTGCATTTTAGGATTGGACACAACAAAACAATGTTTACTTTTCAGAAAACTGCTTTAATCGGATGTGACTATGGGCATCATTTCAAAATGGAGGCTCATGATGAATCAGGGTGGAAACTAAGAACCTAACACCTCTAAATGCTTCCATTTTAGACACTCTTTCGACACCATATAAACACGCACACAATAGTCAAATAAAATCACACCCAGAACTGCAACAAACTAGATTGTTACCACTTATTGCAAAGCACACGCCTTTAAATGTTCTAATTCTCATTCAGACTTGAATAGCAGGCTCTACAAATACTAATCTCGTATAATCCAACGTCTGCACGTGTTTTGTATTGTGTTTTACACTGGTGCCCTGTGTGATTTGGCTTTCTCAAGCTCACTTGGCTTCCTTTGGACCACTCATGGAACAGGGTCAGTGGGCTAATCGCAGCAGCCGTCTGTCCCAAAGGCTCAGAGCCGTGAGAAAAATCTGGAGAGGCCTGACCCGGCAGTAACAACACACCACTGTACTCAGACCCCAAGGAGCAAATCACAGGGAGATCACCAGGGTATGAGGAGTTTTTTTTTTTTTTTGAATGATCAGCACTCCTACGCTTGCTGGCCAGAACTCAGGGAGTCATACAAACAAAGTCAGCATTTTCCATTGAGGGGTTACCCTGTACTTTTTTTATGATCTGCAGCTGAAGGCCTTTCTGATCAATACTGAGGAAATTATTGTTTGTAAAGCATTATCGGTATGTGGGTGGTAAGTGAGGTCTGTAAGAACTAAATCACTGGCACTGTTAGTGAAGCTGTGTGGACTAATAAACTATATCTTTTCAGGAGACATTGAGAACACCATAAACTGAGAAACATTTACACATAGATTTTCTTGCTGTTGCATCAGTCTCCCAGGAGCCATTAAACATTTCACATTCAAATTTTGTTTTTGTACTTCACATCCAGTCAATACCTTCATTATCTCTCGCATAGTCTTTGTAATACTTATTTGTATCTACAGTGACGATGACACAACCGGTGTTTTGTTACTACCTTTAGGTTAAATTATACGACACAAATGGAAGCAAAAAAGGGATTTTAGCTAACTTGCCATTACTTCTGGGTGTGGACATTATTCTTCTCTATACATCAATTTTTAAAGTTCAATATGGTATTTAAAAAAAGGCAAAAGATCAAACCCTCTACCAACTCTAAATAATCCCTCTGATTTACATACACAATTATTATATAACACAAATGATAATTACAGGGAGATGTTTGGGTGCCTAAGTCATAGTCGTTTCTTTCTCTATATATTCAACTATGTAACTCTGATAGAATCACAAGTTTGAAACTTACCTCTTGAAATATGAAATGTCTTTTCAAGCGTCCAATAATATCAGATTTCAAATGCCGCCATAGAGATATTGTTTGTTAAATAGTTATTTTTCTAAAAGAAGAATTCAGCAGTCTTTGAGTTTTTCGCCACAGGAGCCTGGGTGTGAAGATGTCATCATCCGTTTCTCTTATAACTCAATGCAAGGAGTGCTGATGTGTGTCTGTACACACGCACACACTAACACACAGTTTAGAAGCGTGGAGGAGAGCGAGCCAGAGAGTTTCCTGTCGTTGAAAGGTTGAGGGTTGCTCTGCAGGTGCTTCATCATGCAGCTGTGTGAGCAGGGGAAACGTTATAGGCTCCATGGTAAAGGGGGTCAGGACAGCACCTCTCCCAAAGTGGGAGCCAAGATGTGAATTTTCCAATACAGTTGAAAAAAGTAAGGGCATGGCAGGCTGCAAGACAGTTAAGTTATATTTGTGTATGTTTGTGCTACTTTTGTGTATAACATCTGTCAGTCTGTGACCTTTAAGTTGAGAAAAACCATCAATGTAAGGTTGAGGTGGTGGTCTTGGGTTGTTCAATACAACTTACTAAGCAAGATAAGATATATTATATATATATATATATATATATATATATATATATATATAGATTTTTTTTTTTTTGTAAAGTGTCTTTGAGTATTTAGAAAAGCGCTTATAAATAAAAATGTATTATATGATATAGGATTTTAAATAAGATTTATTTTAGCAGTACTATCAGTAATTATAACTTATTACATTACCGGTAATGCCACACATAAGACCATTTTGGCGATTTGGTACACTTGTTTCCCGTTGAGTGGTTTCAGGCCTCAGGTTTAGTATCAAGACAACAGGACAACAAGGCTATTTATGCTAGTCACAAATGTGGTTAGGGTCTCTTCTGTTTGCGGCCAGCAATTTAAAAATAGACTTTGTCCTTGCTTTTTAAAACTCAGTCTAAAAATAGACTAAATTTGTAATTTGTAACAAAATTAAAAACCAATCAAATGTCAATCAGTGAGTGACCCGCTTATGAATGATCATAACCAAAGCTCTTTGATGAATAGGCGCCACAGCATGGTCAGATTTGGTCCTGAGAGCAGACATGAATTGTGTCTCGGATTGCTAACGCACTCTAAAAGACTATGCTGTTGCGTTTTGTACCTTTCAGAAAACTCTGCTGCGGGCCACATCTCCTCTCTTGTGGTGAACGGCTGCTGCTACAGAGCATGCACTGGCAGGAAGTTAGTCCAAACATTACAGGAAGTGCACAGAAATATGTACTTAGAAGACTGCCACAGCATAGATTAAGTGTCACTTGCGATAAAACCACCTGAGCACACTCTTTTTCCGTTAAAGTATATAACCGAGACCTAGGAGGGTGGGTGAAGTAGTTTCACTTTTTTGATTGTGATTGTGTGCTACAGAGCCTTTTACAACTAAAAAGATGCATATGCACATACGTTGTATTCTATCTGTTTCTGAAGGCAGAGTCTTAACACATACAAATTCCTCATTAATATGATGATATAATATCATGGATCATCTGGCACATACCTAAAAGAGCCTCACCATCTTTGGATATCAGCTTTATGGCAGGCCCTATGAGCCTTTAAGGGTATTCCTAGTTTCCCCTCGACCACAGTTGTCGCTACTTCCAAATGTGGTTGGAAATCACATTCTGTTACGCAACTGAACAGAGATACTATCAATATGCAGAAAGTTTTCCAACCCTCCTCCAGCCCGCTCCACGATGCAGGTGCCGGCCTCTTTGATGTGAGCGAGCGCCGCTTTTCTTTTGCTGCTGATGCTTACCAATGTACACTTCAATACAGACTTCAACCAATTCAAACATCATCCGTTTTTCAGGTTTGTTTAGTTTCAAAACAAACGGTATGCTTTATTTACACTCTAAAATCAACTTCTGGTCATATGATGACATGTGGTATGATTATACGGGGGAAAGGTCAAGGGAAACTATCTGCAGGGCACAGCTGAGTGGCATGAGAAAGCTTTATTGTAATAGCATTCACTAAAGAATCCGGCCTGAAGGTACAATACCTCGGCCTCTGTGCATTTTTCATATGATATTCATTTCCACTATTGAGGTCATCTGTGTCCCGAAGTATGCCACATTTATGTTCATTTTAGCAGTTCTAGTTACGCTCTGCCGAGCCATATTTGGTTTCTTGTTTGACTAATTATGTCCAACAATGTCTGTGGTTCTACACATCCCTCAGGGCCCCATTCATATGTTTAGATATTACCGGTTCATGAATGTCTCGCGGAAAGGAAAGAAGAGACTATTGTGCAGAATGGCTTTAAGACCAAGGATGGATGACGGGGGATGGATCTGATTGAGCATGTGGTGTGTAAAGTCTCTGTTCTAAACATGTAATGACAAATATGTTCAATGCTAATAAAATTTCATTTACAAGAGCCACAGATATGGTAAAGTCTCTTTAATGTTGTGTTTTATGTGCAACAGAAAATATCCATTTACAGTTTAAGGCATTTTGCTTTTATACTAATTTGTCAGATACATTTATATTTCAGTAACAATCTGCATAGAAAGACATTTTACATTTAACACAGTTACAACCAATGTCAAATATCACTTAACAAAAATATTTGATTCTTCCTACTTGCTGTTACTAATAATATTAAGCTATACAATAAACAATTTAACTTGCCCACTGAGCGTCAGAATACACTTGGTCACTGTCCAGCCATATTTAGTTTCCATTCCATGCTCCACAGCATCTTGACATGGTAATGGAAAACAAAATGCATTAGGCATAGCCTCCTGGGTGCTGTCACCACAGTGATGAGGCTATGGAGATATTTTTGGTTTGTGAAGAAGAGGTGTAAAAATGCTGCCGTGTGACCTCCCACTTCCTCTGAGGATTCTGGTCGAGACAGTGTCCCAATGAAGGCTTCCACAGCTGGAATGAGTTGCCGTATTAAAGGACTCTAGTATACTTGTAAGTGCTGCTTAACATTTTCTTTATCCAACCACACTTTACCAGATCAGACATGCCACCTTCATACTTTTTTTTATTTCAGTCAACTCCTCAAAAACATTTACTAGTAAGGTAAATAAAATAAAGCAACGTCTAATTGCTAGCCCTCGTCACTGGATGTAACCAGTTCAACTAGAGGTCTCACAACCTCTCAGACTTATCTTGCGAGCCCCTGATTAGGAACCACTGATGTAAAGTAACCTGACCTGTCTATCTGTCTGAAAAGCTCCCTACTGTGACCTTGAAACTCCCCAAAACTTCTATTCTGAAGTTTTCTTATTTCTATGACAATTTTACACCAAATCAGCACTATTCTCCCTGTGGCTGATTTCCCCTTCGTTTTTATGATACTAAATCACTGGGTCAAAGATGATGAACATAATGCCCATATCTGCCTTTTATGTTCCAGTTTAGCTCTTATTCTTCATCTACTCTGATGAACATTGCACTGTGCAAAGAGCAGTCAACAGTAGAGCAGCCCTGGCTCCATCCAGCAGGAGGGTGTGTTGGTATTATGGGTGTGTGCCTCTACAGGTCGGCACACTGAGGCTTTCTCATGCCTGTCAAGCCAAGGTGCACATCAAAGGAGTCATTTTCATTTCCACCCAGGGCACTAATAACTGTCAATCACTCTTTGCTCTATCACCAAAACACCTCCTGAGGAGGATATATGCCTAATAATATACCAACACAAACACACAGGGGAGGCGATGGGAACATCTTCCGCAACATGAACAAAGGTGGAGGTTTTAACACAGTGAGAAACGTCTGGAGTTGATGTTCATCTTGGTGAGGCCCAGGTGTTTGAGTGGGGTGGACAGAGCGAAGGCAGCCTTCATGGGGATGTCGCACAGCAGGTCCGACTCCTCGCCGCACTCCTCCAGCTCATATGTTGCATCATCCAGCATCTCCTTGTGGCGGTCGCAAACCTGCTCCACTTTAAGCCTGTGGATCTCCCCACGCAGGCGGATCAACTGACGGGCCAGACGGTTGTCCTGGACCTGCATTTCCCTCTGAGGAAAGAGAAGGGATGGGGGATTAAAGGGTGGGGTTAGGAAGGAAGGTTGGAGAGAAGTGATCATCAGTGTGAGATATGTGGAAGTTTGGATTTGGATGTTTTTTTTATCATAGTTTAAATCTTCTTATCAAGGTGTGTAAATCACTGGTATGTGTGATAGCTATATGGGCTGCAGCCTGAGATCGTGAGAAAACAGACATCACATTGTTTCACAAACTGTTTGTTTAGGATGTGAGGACTGCATGAAGTTAGTCCTACCACTGACTGATTTAAGTCATGCATTCATGTAGAGCAGCTCACTGACACCTGGAGAGGTCGTTATCTACCTGAGAGGTATAGGAAGCTAGATGTGTGTGGATTTGCGTTACTGACATTCATTTTCAGTATAATAGATCTTTGGGTAAAATAAAATCACTCACCAGCTCTTTTCTCAGAAACTCCAAAGCATCATCAATAGTTTCAAAGCCACAGATGTTGCGCACAACCACTTCTGAGCTCTCGCTCCTCTGAGTTGCAGGAAGGGAAACGACTTGTACTCCAGAGTCCGGACTGTGTGCTTCGTAACTGTCCGTCCACGGTCGGTTCTGTACCCGCTCCTGCCACTCCAGATACGAGGGTCTGCGAGTCTGTAATTTCAGCTTCTCTGTAAGTGCTTTCACGCTGTCCAGGTCCTCCGTGTCTCCCTCAGAGGACTCGTCTCCAAATGCTTTAAAATCCATCGGCGCACTGATGCATGCGGTCCTTGGGAATTCGCTTTCTGGATTGGCAGCTTGGCGATTGGAGCGCAACAGGTCCTCACCTCCTTTATATGGAGATAAGAAGTAGTGACCGCCCATGTCGCAGCGGACACAGAGGCTGGATCATTCATAGGCTTTTTTTTTTTCACGAAATGAAGCCAGAAATTAAGAAAGAGTACAGGCTTAGCCACAAATACGAAATAAAGTTCTTGATTTTTTAATCAAGTGTGATCCACCATCTGTAGGCTACTTTCTTTTTATTTAGTCACAAATCCAGTGGTGTTTCACCATAATTTTAATGTAATATACTTACCTAAGTATTACTTAGGCCTACTTGTGGTGGAAGAAGTCTTCAGATAGTTTTCTTAAGTAAAAGTAATATTATAAAATGACAAAATAGTTTCACTACAAGTGAAAGCTCTGCATTCAAAATCTTGCGTAAGTAACAATGAAGTACTATCCGCCAAACTTAAAAGTGAAATATAATGCAGGAAAATGGTCACTGTGAGAGTAACCAAATATTACTGTCTCATATATTACTGATGCATTAACGTGTAATGAGCATTTCAGTGTTTGCCTGGTCGATGTGGAGCTGTTTTCAGAGACAAAAGTCCTGGTATTTATTACAGTGACTTGTATTTTAATTCTGCAATCAGGAAATACATAAAATAAAGTAAAGTGTATTTCTCTCTGAATATCTACACAGGCAAAGTATAAAATAGCATACAATGAAAATAAGTACATCAGTACTTACTTATTCCATCACTGTAGCCTAAATATTATATTTTCTCCAAGGGGTATATTTATATGCTTTAGTAATTAGCACTAGTTATTTTGCGAATAAATACATGATGCGCAATAAACCACAAAAAGTACAAAAAAAGTCACTTTTTTATGTTCATTCTTTTACATGCTTTTTATAATATTTTATAAAGCTCCCACCTCGACCGGCTGCAACATGCAAATGTTGCTTGCACTCAATGTGCAAAACCAATACAATATCATCCTAATATTTGCTATATATAATAATATAATACTTTGAAAGGAAATCTTACTTTTATAGTATGATATGCAGGATACGATTACTAAGTAAACTATTGAATGTAGAGCCTTTACTTGCAGCTTAATATTGATACATTGTGGTAGTACTACCTCTGCTTAAGCTTCAGTAATAAACTCAAACGCTTCCTCCATAACCGCACTAAAAATGTTGTCAGGCGTGATTTAGACCAACTACAGGTATCTACGTTTGACTGTGCCGCCATCTGGTGGTCATCCAGCATATAACAAGCGCATTGCTGCTGCTGCTGCTGCTGCTGCTGCTGCTGCTGCTTCCTTTCTCGCCCTCTCAACCACGCACAGAAACTTTTACCAGCAATATGTGACACATCTCAGTGCTGCTGTTTCTCAGGAAACAGTGCACTTCCGTCTTCTGCCTCCTCAAGCAGCACGTTTCCATTTGCAGAGCGGCCACACGCTCAGCCACCTGTGCGTGTGAGGGTGTGTGTGTCTGACAATGTTCACTAAGAAATCACTCTATTTATAGACTCCTTATCGTCAAACAAACAGGGCACATCTGCAGTGCTACCCAACACAGTGAGGGAACAGAAGGAGGGAATTTGCTTTCATTTTCTCCACCAGAGTGGCGAGGAAGTGATTTGAAGTGGCCAGGAGCAGAAGTTCGGCAGCCCGGGGGAGTTTTTTTTTTGGGGGGGGTCTGTGGAGGGGGAGCTGATGGAGTTTTCTGAGCACATCAAGACCGCCAATGTGGAGGATGTTGTTCTCCGACAGCCGCTGCACCCTCCGAGCAGAGGCACCCTGTGCATCACCGGCCACCACCTGCTCTTCTCGGACAGGGAGGAGGGCAGCTCCCGGCAGCTTCTGCTGCTCCTCAGGAACATCGATGCCGTTGAGAAGAGGTGAGGAGGTGCAGCAATATACATCAGTTCGAGTGGTTCAGTTGAGACTTACAGAATTAAATATTAAATGACGCTATAAAAAGCAACAGTATACTGTCATTTGCTGTCATTTAATTCCAAAAACATGACACTTGTTTCAACAGAGTTCAATTAACAGCCTTAATGATGTGTAAATACTCATTACAGCACTCAATAAGGGGTTTATGGATCCTTTTTAGCACTTTTTTTCCCCTAAAGATTCTAATTACAAACCATGGTCAAACAAATAATCACACTAATCAACATGACTAATCATCACCAGAGCAATCACTGAGTGCTCCAATGTCTAATTAATGTCTGATTCCATTATTCCTCAAATCTTTTTAACCAGTGTGGAAAACCTTTTGGTCTATTCGGGCCTCTTCTCTAACGCAGGCCGCAGTGAAAGGTTGGACATCATTTGTGTTGCCATGTGTCTGCTGTGTGCTGCTCTTATTGCCCACAGTGCTGCTGAAATAGGACATTTGCTAACCCGATTACAGCAAGTCTGTTTTCTCATTACCCTCCACACACACACACACACACACACACACACACACTGAGTTGTGTTTCTGCTTGCTACTAACAGCTTGCTCTTAACTTTGCTTAACCACTTGATATATTTTTGGCCAGCAACAGCAACCAGCAAGTAGGGGTTGCACACCCATTTATCAGCAAGAGAAGCCCCTCCCATACACACACACACACACACACACACACACACACACACACACACACACACACACACACTCTGCCCAGCTGACTGGGTTCGCCTTCCTTTCCTGCTGCAAGTCAAACTTTGTGCACTGCTTGAGTCAAAACAATGGGGGGTTTGGGGGAAGTGAATGCAGGGGTATTGTTTCTGGGTTTTTTTTGTGTATGAATCATAGTGGTGTGTGTGTGTGTCTCTGTGTGTGTGTGTGTGTGTGTGTGTGTGTGTGTGTGTTTGTGTGTGTGTGTAGGATATCTGGATCTTCAGGGACAATTACCATTAAGTGTAAAGATATGCGTGTGCTCCACCTTGACATCCCAGGCATGGAGCAGTGTCTCAACATTGCACACTCTATTGAGGTACAATGAATAATCAAACACTTATTTTTGTCTTACAGTGGGACTTTACATTGTTTCTTTGAACACAGCATTTATCTCCTCCTTGCCCTCATCTCATACCATTTTTTAATCAATGTCTCTAGACCCTGTCCTGTCTGGATGGCGTGGCGGCGATGTATCCTTTCTTTTATAGACCATCTGATCTCAGCCTGCAGAACCAGTGGGGTCTCTCGTCCACTGAAAAGTACTACAGTCAAATGAAGGAGCTTGTAAGCAACATATAAAACTCTGTCTATCTTATAAACTTGTTTCTAAAATATAGCTATATACCCACACAGTCTCACTGGCAAACTTTCCCAACAATGATCCAACATTCACATGACAGGAAAATGCCTGGGAAACTGCACGAAAGGGTCAAGATTCAGGATATCCCAGTTGCTTAGCTTTCATTTGTTATCCCTTAACTCCAGAATGTGCTGCACACAGCTTAAATTCATGCTTAATGGAGAGACACCTTCCTCTGAGAGTAGCATGTTGCTATGGTGGACCCTGAGGGCAGCATTGTTGTGTATGTTTTATAGGGACAATGTTCCCAGAACATGTACGTGTGTAGAGTATCTGTAGTTTTCATCAGGCCAGTCTGGTGCAACTGGTTGGAACTTGCATGTCTACGCAGATCCATCATGCCGATTGTGCCACTTCCTTGGGAGTCTGTTCTGTGTAGTTGCCAATTTTAACAATTCGTTGTTCTTAAAGAAAATGTATTATGTGGTTGAGGTTTGTTGCAGAGAGCTAGATGAGAAGATGGGTACCACTGCTTAGCTCAAAGAATGAAAACGGGGAAACCAATAGCTGGACTCCAAAGGTAAAAATATCTGCCTCTAGTACCTCTAAAGCAAAATCATTAACACATTATCTATCTTGTTTGTTTAATCTGTACAAAAATTGTTTAAAAACAAGTTTTGGTTTTATGGGAGGTTTTGTGCCAGACTATTTCTTGACCGGCAGCAGTGGTTTCCTGAAGTCTTGTCATCACTGTTATTTTAGTGGGTTGCCAGGCAACAAGCTGTCGTTTTCAGAGTTCCGTTTCCTAGCTTAAAGAACAAGGTGACGTTATAGAATAGCTTCCCACGCTGTAGTTTTGTAATTTTGGGTAAAAAATGAATCTACTTAATTCATTTTGCTGCAAGGCTTGTCCTCCTCTACATCTGTATGAAGTGACAAATCCAAAATCAAGTTTATTTCCCGTATAGGAGTTCTTAAAGCAGGTAGCAAGTGCTATGTGCAGAGGAAGGTGGATCCGCCCATGTTAGAGCTGTTTCCTCTGACTTAAGCATCCTTTGACATACAGACCCAGCGGTGTGGTGAACATTCATGTGCTGTGTGCAGTTTACTGACAAACGTTTACATGACTTGTGTATTAAAGCTAGCATTTTCCAAACAGCGACCACGTATTGTGTTTTTTCATTCATTCATTCATTAATCGTGTGTGACCAGTCCTCATCATCCTTTCTCTCCTCTGTTTGCAGCATAATAGGTGGCGACTGAGCTCTGTGAACAGAGACTACTCAGTGTGTCCCTCTTACCCACCTGCTGTCATCATCCCCCAGAACACAGACGATGACATGCTAAAAAAGGTGGCCAAATTCAGACAGGGAGGGCGCTTCCCTGCCCTCTGCTACTACCACAGGAAGAATGGCATGGTGAGGTGCTTTACCTCCACTGCAAGCCTGCAATCTTTACGTGCAACCAAACAATTCTAATCGAAACTTAAACTTTTCAGGTGATACTGCGCAGCAGTCAGCCACTGACGGGAGCCAACAGGAAGCGCTGCAGGGAAGATGAGCACCTCCTCCAGGCTGTGATTGACGGCTCAGATAAAGGTTACATTATTGATACGCGCTCCAGTCAGCAGGCGCAGCAGGCGCGGATGACAGGCGGAGGGTTTGAGTCCAAATCGTCTTATAGCCACTGGAAGAGACTACACAGGCAGATGGAAAGGTGTGTGAGTGTTTAGTGTGGATGCTGTTTTATGATACTGACCTGTCCCATCAGAACAACCTCCTTCACCTCACTTTCTTCATATGTGTGTACAGGGGGAAAGCACTGCAGGAGAGTCTAATTAAACTGGTGGAGGCCTGCGGTGACGAGTCCCATAATATGGACCGTTGGCTCAGTAAGCTTGAGAATTCAAAGTGGCTGTCTCACGTCCAAACTGCTCTGTCAACTGCTGGCCTGCTGGCAGAGTGTGTGGAGAGGTAGGAACTACACGCACAGTGTGTCTGTGATGGGACTACAGGTGGTGTACATGCCTATCTATTCTTTGTATAACTGCAAACTGTATGCAAATAACCCTTTTGTGAAGACATTATTCACTTCACAGGAGGATAGTAAAATTCACAGTTGTAATGTGTGAATAGTAATAATATATTCATTCTTATTATCTGTACACAACACAAATGGAATATTTAGCGAGTTGCAACACCTGTATTAGCTGTATTACCTTCTAATCTAACCAAGAAAGTCAAAAGCATATTGTCTTACTGTAAAACTTTGGGGACAGGAGAGCAAAAAAAAATCACAGAAGGCAAAAAAAGCACATGATAAACCCTTATGTTAAAAGAGACTCAAATACCACAGGCATATGCTTGCTGGACATGCATGTAAGGACATGAGGACAGCAGAACAAATAACTTTAAAAAAAAATTTTAAAAACCTGTCAGCAGCACTAATAGAGCCACTTTTGTTATTGCTTTGCTTACAACTAAATGCACGTGTGTCTTTGTTTACGCATGTAGAGGAACAGGACTGTAGTGTATGTCTTGGTTTTGTCCAGGGACGGTCATTCAGTTCTGGTTCATGGCTCTGAAGGGACAGACTCCACTTTGCTCATCAGCACTCTGGCTCAGCTCATCATGGACCCATGCTGCCGCACACTGGAGGGCTTCCTTGCTCTGCTGGAGAGGGAGTGGGTACAGGTCAGTGTATGCGTGTTGGTGTGTGTCTAATTTGAAAAGACTTGTGGGAATAAGTCTTAAACATTCTATAGCTAATAGAAAAAATAAAATAAAAATACAAGTAGACACATTTCTCCTTACAAATAACAAAAGTGTTTCTGAGTCTGAAATATTTTATGCAAGCAAAAGCGTGTTCAATTGTGTTACTTTTAACATATGCAGTTTTGCTGCAGAGCTGACCGCAGTTTTTCAAGCACAATCTCACTTGTGGTTATGACCAAATCTCTTGCTTAAAGGATATTGCTCCACAGTCGACTCCTATTAGGAAATGCCTTAAGAGAAAAAAAAGGGTTTTCTGCTGCATGTGGCGGTCATGGATTTAAAAAAACTTCCCTTATTTCCAAATGTTTCCCTCCTCCAATAATTCTTGAAATTTTAGCATTACAAGTAATTTTTTCTGATATGGGGATCCTTACTACTTTCAGCATTATACGCAAGAACCAAGAAACAATATTTAACATTTTACAGACCAACCAAATAACCAACAAACCATTAACATTAACACTGATATCTGATGCGCAACTAAAACAGAAAATAAAATCATATGGAGGGAAGTAGTTGTTCATACTGTACAACAGTGCTCCAGCATGAACCCCTTTTAATAATAGTAGATTATGGGGATGGTAAGGCATCAATTCAATCAATCAATTAAATTTATTGTTCTCCAAGGGGGAAATTCATGAGACTACAGTGTGTGCTGTCGCAGCAGAGCGTGCGCCATTTTCAGTACATTTTCATCACACAGTTCACAGCATTAAAGTTCAAGATGCAATCGCCCCAATCAAAAAAGTATATATTCAAATTGGGTTGAACTTGTGATTACATTTTTTTTAACGATGCATCACTATTTCTATTGGTGAAAATTCAATTTATTTCTAAATTATTAGTAGAAGCAGTGCACTATATACTTTTATTATTTAGAAATGTGACCAACAATACAGAATGTGACCAATCATTTTATATTTAGATTGATCCCTCCTCTCTAAACTGTTTCTCAAGCAGCTCAAGGTGGGCCAAAGAAATAAAATCTAACTATCTGTACCATATTGAATTGCCTAGCATCATATTCCTTTGCATTGCATCATATCGCGTTGAATGGCATTGTGTTGAGTCGTATTGTGTCGAATCGCACTGCATCGCAATAGTGAATCCTATCATCGGTAGTTGCTTCATAGGTATCTTTAATGTATCGGATTGTTGGCAATGCATCAAGATGCGTATCCCATCAGCCTCAGTGATGGAGATCACATCTCCATCTCCAGTATTGTAGCTAAAGAGTACAAGACTGTGTCCAGTAAATGAGACGGTCAAAGTTAAAATGATTCTGACAATTAATAAATAGATACATTAAACATGACTGCTGTGGTGTGCTGTGTGTATGTATGTTTATATGAATAAGTATTCTTCTCTCAAGGCAGGACACCCATTCCAGCAGCGCTGTGCCCACTTTGCTTACTCCCATGCGCGTCTCCAGCAGGAGTCCCCAGTCTTCCTGCTGATGCTGGACTGCGTGTGGCAGCTCTGGCGTCAGTTCCCCCTGGCACTGGGCTTCTCTGAGGCGCTGCTCCTGAGGCTGGCGACTGAGGCCTATGCGTCCGACTATGGCACCTTCCTGTGTAACAGCCATCAGGAGAGGTCAGTTTCACGGTTCTTCTGGCTGATACGAAACCCAACAGATGCATTCTTACAAACTAATCTTAACACTTCCACCTCATTCTTCCCTCTCAGGTGTGCTCTAGGAGTGACAGAGAACACTCACTGCTTGTTCCAGGCCCTGTTGAGGCCCACAGAGAGAGATTACTACTCAAACCCCTTGTATGAGCCGACTGAACTAGCAATCTGGCCCTCGGTCCACCCTCAGTCCCTGCAGCTTTGGAGAGGTAAGCTTTTTTTAAGCAGTAATGCTCATTCAACATTACCTCTAATGTAATTATGATGCTCTCATTATTTGGTGTTGTAAGCTTAGAGTGTTCCTAACTTTGTGGTTCTACAATTATATTTAAATGTTGATGCTGACTCAAGCCCTTGTCTGGTCCTAAGGCTTTTTTCTGAGGTGGACCCAACAGGCTCGTCAGCTTGAAGAGGCTCAGGAGGAAATAAGGAACATGGTCATTGAGTGGGGGAAGATGGCGCTGAGCTGATGCTCTTTAAGTAGGCTACATGAACAAGTGAAGATGCTCAGCCTGAACATGTAGAACCTGTTACCAAAGTGCAATGTCCTTTTGACTGTGGAATTTTTATCTCTGAAGTTTTAATGTACAGGTTTTTATTTTATTCTTTTATAAAAATTGTATTAGAAAATAATTGTTGGTCATTTCACACAATGTTAGTCCTTAAAAAAACACTTTTGGAGTTTTATAATTTCTTGTATGTTTTGCATAATTAAATAATTAAGCCATAAATAATGGGGTAATTATTTTTCTGTTATATATTCACTCATAAATATTATCAATAGAGGAAGGCTGTGTGACTGACACACCTCCCAGTCCTGTTAAGCTCAGCTAAACACTCTTCACAATACAAATCCCTGTGCACAGCAAGTCAGCATGTTTGCACACACGGAGCTTTGCAGGCTGGAGATTGTAGTCCTGTTCAGTCAAGAGCCACAAGCCCTGGTGATTATACAAAGTGGACAAGAACCACATAGCCCAGCATGACTTTCTATGCCTGCTTATTTATTCAGTGGTTACTGGGTGAACTGAAACGGTGACCCATCGGATGGTAATTTTTTTCATCTTAAATGCCTGGAAAACTGTATTTTCAACTCTCATTTCATCATTTAGTTTAGAGGAATAGTTTAGGATTTTCTGTAGTTGCATCAGCTGGTTTTGGACCAAGAATCATCTTTCTGGGATTTCTGATTTTGTCACAGGTAAAAATGACTTTTTATATCCTGTTTAAGTTCAATTTGTGTCTGTAATGTTTGAACACAACTTGTACATGCCCCAATGATCATTACCAAGATGTAGACGTTCTGTGTCATCAGTTCAATTTAACTTGTCTAAGGACTGCTACTGGACATGCAATCGGGTGTGCGGGTCTGTGCGCCCACTGCGGCGGTGCTGAGCCTGTTTTGCCGAGGTTGTCTCAGCAGGGTGCAGAGTTTGCCTGGTCGCAGCTTCAGCTTTTTGCCCAGGCAGATGAGCAGGTGGAACAGCCGGGATACCTGCAGCCCCCCACCTCCTCAGGAAAACCCCCGTGTCCTCATCACGGGTAATGCAAACTTTCTTCTGTCATGAGCTCATAATAGCTACTTCCTCTTGACATTTATTTATTCAGGGAAAGATGGACTTTTCCACAGCTACCCAAACACTGAACCTGTGAAGCTCCTATTGCTTTCCACCACTTTCACTGTGTAGCCACTGTTTTATACTGTTGGCCCACAAAGCAGTTACAATGAGTGCCTCGCTGAAGGGAACCTTTTAAGGGTGCTGAGGGAGTTACTCAAATCACTTTCAAGTGGATGTTTAAATGAAATACACTGAGTATCCTTAGGAAAGAATATTGTGACACGAGTGGAATACTACAGACACGTGTTCTGTCGTTCTTTTTCTTTTCGAGTTGTTTTCACTGTGCTCCAGCAGCAGGACCCCATTTTGACTCATCACAATAGGGTGTGTACAGACAGTGCTGGTAACATAAAAGAGCCAATGAGTGACTGTGGAGAGAATAATAGCCTACTCTCACTTTTTGTCCCAGGATAAAGCTTTGGAACAAACAAAAAGCTGAAGCATGGTGCACCAAAAACATTGATTTCATTTTCAAACTCATTTCAAATTTCAAATTTTCAAACCACTGTCTTATTTTCTCTGAACACATTAAACTCTGTATGCAGGTGGTCTTGGGCAGTTAGGTGTGGGACTGGCACAGATACTGAGGTGAGATATGTAGAAATTCCTGAGACATTAAAGTTAGTCAAAATGCTTGAATTTTGAATGTCATCATATCTATATTAATGTCTAGGAAACAGTACGGAAGAGAGAATGTAATCCTGTCAGACATTAAGAAGCCTCCACCTCATGTTTTCAGCAGTGGTATGTAAATTCAAGTTTTTGTCTTACTCACACAATTTACATTCTTCTCCAGTTTACACTGAACAGAATGCACAGCTTATTTCCCAGCTGTTTGATTAAGTCATTTTGTCTTTTAACTGGTGTCTTCACCTTCTTCTCTTTTCCCATTAGGCCCATTTGTTTACGCTGATGTTCTGGACTACAAACTTCTCAGAGAACTGATTGTAAATAATCGTATCACTTGGCTGGTGCACTACAGCGCTCTGCTTAGTGCTGTGGGCGAGGCTAATGTGGCTTTGGCACGCAAGATTAACATCACAGGTCTGGTGAATACACACACTGTTTAGATGTACCAACTTTTTAGGGATTATAATGTTTCAACTCCACTTTGATGTTCTTCTGTCCATCTAGGCCTTCATAACGTGCTGGACTTAGCAGTAGAGAACTGCCTGCGCCTCTTTGTCCCCAGCACCATCGGAGCGTTTGGTCCCTCTTCTCCACGTGACCCGGCCCCTGACCTCTGTGTCCAAAGACCTCGAACCATCTACGGCGTGTCCAAAGTGCATGGAGAGCTGATGGGGGAGGTGGGTCAATCTTAAAATGCACACACACGCACATTTACCCAGTATTTATATATTGGATGAGTTTGTGACATCTCGTTATTCTTTGCATCCTTTTCTTTAGTATCTCCATCATAAATATGGTCTAGACTTCCGCTGCCTTCGTTACCCAGGTGTGATATCAGTCAACACAGCTCCTGGAGGAGGAACAACAGGTACTGCATCACAGCACAACTGCATATGCCACATAGAGTCAGTAGAAGCAGCTTGATGTTATGAACTAAGCATGCTGGACCTCTGTCTTTACAGACTATGCAGTTCAAATCTTCCACGATGCTCTCAGCACAGGTCACCATGAGTGCTACCTGCGTCCTGACACTCGTCTTCCCATGATGCATATCTCTGACTGCCACCGTGCCACAGTAGAGTTCATGCAGGCTCCAGAGTGCCAGCTGTCCCTGCGTACTTACAACATTGCCGCAATGAGCTTCACTCCAGAAGAGGTGGCCCAAGAAATCCGCAAGCATCTCCCTCACCTCAAGGTCACCTACAACCCTGACTCTGTCCGCCAGACCATTGGTATGACCTAACACACGTGGCACCCATACAAAACCAGTGTGGGATGATTCAATTAAATTTTATTTGTATAGCGCCAATTGAACACAAAAGTTATCTCGGGACACTTTTCAAATAGAGCAGGTCTAGACCCAACATCTTTGCAATGTTTTCAATTATTTAAAAAATATATACTGGTTGACAAAAGGGGGGTGCAACTGTCATGATGCGAATCCAGCTCTATTTAAAGATTATGTTGATCAAAGCTAATAAACCATTGGTCCGTTTTGATTCAATTTTACTTTCTCATGCATTTGGCACTGTATTCTGGCACTGATAGATACAATGGCTTGTTGAGGATTGTGATTAAAAGTTAAAAAAAAAAAAAAAACATTACATTATTTAGGATTCGCTCACTTGCATAAGGGGAGGGGTCAGTGTCCGTGTTGTGTCACATTTAGAGAAAAAGCTTAATCTCTAAGGTTTTTAGGCCTCATGGCCTTTCCTGGGAAAGACCTGAAAGTAGAGTTTTTACATTACATTTATCTTGTTTTATTTTTAAATATTCATGGTGTCCAGGTAAAGGTGCTGTATGTGACTTTCGAGACCACTAGGTGTTGAACTACTAATTTTACCTTGTAGAGCATCATAAAACAAACTTCATTCAAATGGGACAGACACTAAATAAAACACTGCCTTTGTTCCATCATTCCAACAATCACCAACTCTGGTTTTAGTTGAAATTAATCCTTAACTTTGTTAGATGAGAAAAGAAACAGCCTCCTCAAAGCCAAAAGTTTCAAAGGGAGAAACTCACATGCACATGTTTTTTGTGGCTGGACCGGCTAAGTAAACAAAGCACAGAGAAACTCAGATTACAACACACACAGAAGGAGTGTGACATCCACTATATCTTTAACAAATAATTGTTTGCTTCTATAACAAATACTTGTTTACATACATCTTAACTTATCTAATCTCGTATAACCTTTAATTAAAACCGATGTGATGGAAGTAATGTGGTCATCTTTCTTGTCATTTTGCAGCAGACAGCTGGCCCGTGAGGTTTGATGACTCCAATGCCAGGAGAGATTGGGGCTGGGCACCAGCCTTTGGGCTTGAGGAGCTGGTGTCAGACATGCTGCGCTTGATTCGAGAAAAGAGGACAAACGAGGGTTTGCCAGTCAGCTAGCGAAACCTGCTCCACAAAGACTGACCAATGCCCTGCCCCTGACTTTTCTTCAGCCTGCATTTACCAACGAAACACTTCCTTTCACTTCACTTTCACAAGTTGTCAACCACTGTCCTCTGTTACTCTGTAACATTTCAGCAACGAGCCAGGGACTGTTTGTAAAGTAGGAATTCTACGTCAGAACCTCTCAATATATAGTGGACAGTGAGATGTCATACGCATGCACTCAAAGACGCACATTTCAGCCTTTCAGGGAATCAAATACTGCCAAACCTTCTCTTCATCTTTGTTGTTTTTAATTGTTATCATGGTATAAGCATCACATTTACACATGGGTATGTTTCCTCAGCTGGAACAGAAAAATACTTATTTCTTAAGCTTTAGAGATTTCCAAATGTCATGTCAATCACATCCATGGACACAACAGTCTGTTAGAATGTCTATTAAAATGTCTAATACAATATAGACCAGTTGCACATTAAAGTAACAAATCTTTTGTACACTTTGATTTCAGGATCATCTGGAATGGCAGGCTCAGTTGACTCTGGACTGTAATGACTCAACATGTATTCTGGCTACCTTAAAGGGCAGTCTTTTGTAATATAGTCTATCAAGTGAAAATCACAGGAATAACAGGAAGCCTTTATTTTACTTTTTTGCCAGCTGTGTGATTTTGGTTATGAAGGAGTACCAATAACAAATAAAGCCTTATTTACTGTAGACTACTTTTGAAAACAATGTATAAAAATGCAGTGTACTTGGAATCAGACCTTGCATAATAAAAAGAAACAGCAGAGATTATTGTAAATTCTTGAACTTCACATATTCAACATGTAGAAAAGTTCTGAGCGGGCCATGATGCACAATCAACAATAGTATTGATTATGGTGGTAACTAGGTACAATTTCAAGGTACTTCTTGTACCATTTCGAGCTGCTTCATACATATACTCTACTACATTTCAGAGACTTATAGTACATTTATTTTCACAACCACAAATACTACTTACTTGGCAAGTTCTGATTTTACATTAATAAAATAATCTGCATTGTTTTAGATTCTACTCCTCAGCATTTTATGTAGATATAGAAAAATCATCCCCACCTCGACCAGCGACATTAAATTCTTCTCACACATTAATGCATCAATAATTATAAAGCTATGATGAAAGACACAAGTACTGATTAGTGATTGTGCTAATTTAACAAAGGTAACATTTTCAGTGTTTTATTCATAAACAGGTCAGGAATTACCCTCCTCTTCCTCTCCAGACCTTACAGTAGATGTAGGACTTGTTGCTTCCTGTAGGGGCGCACCTGTCTTCCGGTTAGCCTCTTAAAATTTCACCGGAGCCACACACGTCTTTCTGAACAGCACCCGTTAATATCAATTTTCTCCGATAATGGACGCGGGATTCTTCCGCGTAAGTCTTCAAACTTATTTCTAACTGTTGTGTGTCTTGCTGGTACATTGTATGGAGACTTGTTTAGAACATGAATATGCAGTATGTGTTGAGGTGGAGGGCCGTACAGTCAGAAACGGTATGATCAGGGCTTCGTCTATCAACTGATGGAAAACAATCTTGGACTTCGACGAGTCGTGTTTCAACATGGCTATTTACAGAGTTTACCCGTCTTTACTAAATAAATGCATATTACCCTATAGCCCCATGTAACGTTATATTACTTACCCATCGTAGCCTTCCCACAATCACGAGCAGATAAACACATTTGCAGGAATTAGACACTAGCTAGCTACTGCTAATCTGTTAGCCTTGACTAAAGATGGCGTCCGTGGGGTTCATCGCTGTCTCTGTGAGGTAGTCACGACCACTGCTATGCTAACGTTAGCCTCGATAAGTACGTTGGACCTGAACATGTGTTGAATAAAAACTCAAATGGCACTTTTGATGGTCTGTCCATGTCGGCGCTGTTGTAGTCATGGTAACTTCCCGGCTGGGGTTAATATTACCCCGTCTTGTTCCCGTGGGGGATTAAGTAGGCTATTAGCTTAGCTCACGTTAGCTTATTTGAATCAATTTGCCGGTTTAAATTTAATTGTGTCCACGTGAACTGACGCTGACTAATAATTACACTTTAAACGAAAAGTCATGTTTAAAAAAAGTAGCATAGTGTTTGCGAACTTAACTTTAACTTTTAGTGTTTTGGTTTCGATGTCAGTATAACCGGTATGTTGTGCTGTAACGTGAACGTTACACGCGTGCCAAATACTGATGAGGTTGTTGTGCAACTACCAGTAAACTACTGAACAACAAATATGTTTCAACCATACGCTGATGTGCAATAGTCAATTTCTGTTTCATTAAATGAGCCAACTAAGATTTAATGTTTTTTTTTTTGTCTCTTTAGGGCACAAGTGCGGAGCAAGACAACCGTTTCAGCAACAAGCAGAAGAAACTGCTGAAGCAGCTGAAATTTGCAGAATGTCTGGACAAGAAGGTACAAGATCATCCACACTTTCAATGTTTGTGCCACATTGTTCATCATTTCTGTTCAAGCAAATTATTGCATTTAAAAATGCAATGACGTTGAAACTTTTTGTACCATATACCAGTCACTGTTGTCATTGTAGATAAGATAGATTTCTGATTGCACAAAACTGTGAGAGACACTGTAGCCTCAGGTCATTTAATCATTGCTTGACTTTATTAACTGGTTGCGGTTTGTTTTGCCCTCAGGTGGACATGACCAAAGTGAACCTGGAAGTCATCAAACCTTGGATTACTCAGCGAGTGACAGAGATTCTGGGGTTCGAGGATGACGTCGTCATAGAGTTCATTTTTAACCAGCTTGAGGAGAAGGTAATGTCTTTAACTGTGTTCATTTTTGTTTTTTGCAGAACTGTCATAAATTTGAGGGCATTAATTTGTCAGTAAGAAGGGATCTAAGCAATAATTGCACATCCTAGTCAAATTGAAATTGAATGGGTAAAGTAACAATTGGTGTAAGACTGATTTATAATGACATAACCATGTTTTGCTGTTATGTTACAAAGTGCCTTTATTCAGCAGTCTTCTAATGATGATGTGATTTATGATTTAAAAGGCCTGAACCAATATGGATGTTATACCTTGCATCAGAAGTATAGCACCAACACCTAATTAGCTCTCTCCTGAGCCCAAAGTCACTGAGCCCAACTCTCCCTTCATGATGCAGTGTGTGGTTTGAGGTGAGTTATATGCAGGGATCACCGAATTCATGTCAGTGAAAGACACACCTGAACAATGCCATAATCATATTCTCCGTAGGTATTTGCAGTGTATCATTAGACTGCCCAGATCCCTTTTTTAAATACAACTGGAATTATAGGTTGAAAACAGGGAAGTTTTGACAATTTGCCACAACCTATTGTTAACTGTAATAGATCTCTTTACATTCTTTAAAGAGTAACTTCAGGAGTATTTTAACACCCAGCTGAAGAGTCATCTCACCGACCACCTCTGATTGAAAGTTTCAAGTGTTTTGCACCTCTGTTAGGTGTGGTCAGAACAAGTGCAACGGAAAACACCTGTTTGACTTGTAACCACACCTAACAATGATACGAGGGTATCATGAACTCAGCCCAGATGTATCTCTACATAATTGTAGAAAGTTGAGAACTTCAGCCACTGGAGGTCAGCAAAAAGAAGATTTCCAGCTGCTTTAGAGTTTTTTTTTCTGTAATACGCCTGTTGAACATCTGACTTCACCCAGCATGCAAGTTAGGTGTGATTAGATGTTGAACAGACTTGAGATCAATACTTCTCGGTTTGGCATCAAGTTACTCTTTAAAAAGTGGAAGGTCATTGAAATATCCATAGCGGTCATGTTTTGACCTGAACAAAATCCTGCCACTAGAGCTGATTTTATGCATTTCATTTTTTAAGACTAAATTGTGCATGTTCTTCATCCCATAGGTTATTGGCTACTTTATGTAAATAGACTTATTTCCAAGATTTTCCTCTTTTTAATCATACTCTATACCCCACTGTCAAACCACTTGGAATGTCTGGATAATGGGTAATTTCCATTGTACAGGCTTACTTTTGGAAATAGGAAAAAGGGTTAGTATTGTATTAGTATCATTCATTCGACTGTTACTAGGCTTGCATCCCATAGCGTACTTGAATGCAAGTTTTGGCATAAATGCGTATTAAAAATGACTTTTATTGTCGTAACATGCTAAAAACCACACATGTATTTATTTGAGAATGATATGTGACACCAGCACTGCACATAAAAATTTTTTTTATTATCTTTTCATTTGATCTTTTTCTTGCCATAGCTTTTGGGGGATGGGGGTGGTCTGTTAAAGCTAAGTGTAAAGGGTACTATTGCATAATGGTAAGAAAGGGTAATTGAATTGAGATTACGGTATCTCTCAATAATTCTATCAGTTGTTGAAATAAAACTCCTTTTTTTGTGTAACTGTGTACTCATTATTGCTTGTTCGTCTCTTGCAATTTAGATAAATGATATAACATTAAGCTCAAGGTGGTTGAGTCTCAAGCAGTAGGGAGGCGGAAGCAAGCCAAGGGAGCTCCGTGCCCACTGATCCCACGGGACTCACTGAAGACACCGGAACTGTACTTGCAGTGTTGGGTTTTAATGCACTCTGTATTGTGGCTATTTGTTTAACTCCTGAAGTGTAGACTGTGGGGAGACTGGAGAACAAGGGGTGGGTAGGGACACAGTAATGTACTGTAGTGGGGATAGCACTGAGAAAATCAAATAATGACAAATAATTCTTTGTGTAATGGGAGTTTTTTTTGATAGATTGTATATCTGTGGAATAACAATCAGAAATGGGTATAACAGCAGTATTGCATGCAGTTTCTATATCTCTAGATATGTCTCCCCTCAGCTAGCTCGCATTCTCAGTTTGAGTTTGTGAGTACGATTTAAATCAGTCACACTTTTATTTTGATAGGCTATTGAGTCAAGTATTGGACCAAGGTATGTTAAATATTCTAGTTAGACTCTTACATGTTTTGATTATGGTTAACTACATAGTCCCAGGTATAGTTTAGTAAGGACTAGAAGGTAGGCAGTCCCATTTGTGGAATCCTACCTCCCCCTGATATTTTGCCTTCTGTTATTTCAACAGCCATTTGGTCTTTTCTCTCCCCCCTTCGTGTGTGTGTTGCAGCACCCGGATAGCAAGATGATGCAGATCAACCTGACGGGCTTCCTGAATGGGAAGAATGCCCGGGAGTTCATGAAGGATCTATGGCCCCTGCTGCTGAGTGCCCAGGAGAACATTGCTGGCATCCCCTCTGCTTTTCTGGAACAGAAGAAAGAGGAAATTAAACAGAGACAGGTGAGCTTCTCCCTGAGATTAACTTGCACAAAATGTCTCTTCTGGCTGTAGGAAGGCCACGGATCTGTGGTCCTTGACAGTGAGTTTGAAGTCCTTGTAGCACAGGCATAAAAAGATTGCTGTGTATGTAAGTCTGTCAGTGTCATTTGCAGAATAGAAGTATAAATAGTAGAATAGTTTGTGATGTCTTTCCCCCCCATTGTTCCATTTCTGTCAGATTGAACAGGAGAAGCTTGCTTCTCTGAAGAAGATTGATGAGGATAAGAAGGAAAAGGACAAGGACATCAGAGAGAGGGCTCAGTCAAAAAGCCCAAGGAGGTAAGATAAAATTATCTTCAGTATTAAAGTTGGATATGTGTCTTTATCATAAAACAGGAAAAATAATTCTGTTTGCTTCTTCTCTGTTCAGGAGGAAGACAAGGTCACCGTCACCACGACGAAGGTCGCCAGTGAAGCGGGAAAGGAAACGTAGTGCTT